CATGGCAATGTCGTGTCTTTATGTGCATGTGATACTGCACATACAAAAGTGTGGAGCATACATCGTAATGTTCATATTGTCATTTGCCTCCCTCTTATTCCCATGGATGAAAATGACTCCAAAGTATAATTTTTCCCCCATGGATGCAATAATCCATACCCTAGCTATTCTGAGATGAAGGCCATGTTTGACTTCTACATTTCCAAAATTGCCATACTAAGCACAAAGAATGTTATGAATTCCTAATCCTCTGGCAACAGATATCATCAAAGATAAAAGGATAAAGCTGTATTTAGAGAAAGTAATATACTTCGTATAATCCCTGAGGTAAACTGTAAAACTATTGATCACAAATCTTTGCTCACAGAACAAATAGCCAAATATGAAACGAAGTCCCTTGTGCATCAAATCTCTTTCAGTATCCATTGTATTTCAGACGAAAGTAAATGTTAAATAAACAGAATTGAAATCTGCGTGCAGTTTAAATTGTGGGACTGATCTACGTGTAACCTGTTCCCCAAATGTTTGTTAATCTCAGAGATAACCACATATTTTATTGCTAACATCACTGGATACATTGGGTCAATGTATTTCTAGCTGGCTGAATAGCTGGCTCAGAAGTACAATGGATCTATAGATCATTCTTTCTTACAAATTAATTTTCAAACAAACTTTTGTTTTTGCTGATTTGATCCCATGAGAGCTTCACTGCATCTAAAATGGCTTTTAATTTACTATCATCAAGAGAAGTCCTATCAAGAAATAAATCTCTGAATGTAATGCTTTTCTGCTACTATTAATTGCATGAATTTATCTCATGGTACTATAAAAGCTGAAATAAAAGAGGACAACTAGTGGATAACTCAGTGTCAGAAACTGTCCCCATTTTTTTTCTAAGTAAGCAAATTATTCTATAAAATTGATTCAAAATAGATTCAGTAACTTTCCTTGGCAACAGACTGAAAGGATAGTGCTCCTTCCAAAAAAGAAAAGAAAAGAAAAAAGAAAAGAAAAGAAACAACACTAGTTTCAATTGTTGGCTTAGAAATTATTAGCTTTTACCACAGAAAAAGCTTTACAGTTATGAACGTAATAGAGCATGCCAATTACATTTGTAACCCGAGGATTCGTTAATTGGATCACGTTAAATGAACTTGATCCTTCCCTGCTTTATCCAATGCATTCGCTAATTGAATGGGCAGGTCATTAAGTGCATATGAGGTATCTCAGGGTGGGAAAGACCACGGGAGGCCTAGTGCTTCCAACTGCTCAAGGCTTCTTCCAATCTATTGAGATATCTCATGCTCCAAATATGTCCTACCAGATCTCCACAGGCACTGCACCTGTGGAGACTCACTTACATTTGGAAGATCTTGATGATCTAGAGAGCTGTCTCTTTTCCAGCCTCTCTGTCGCGGTTTCTTTGCCTGTTCCCAGCGCTACAAAAGTACAGTGGTGAAAGCAGAGGCAGAGCGCGAAGGACCCATCCTCCTCAGCTTAGCTGACTCACCAAGGCTGCCTGTGCAGGAATCTACTGTTGGAGCGCTAAGCAACCTCAATGAATGTGAAGGAGCCCAAAACCATGTCCCCAAACATTTCTGCTTTCTGTGCCAAAAGGTTTTGCAAAGGGACAGACCTGAAGTAATGCGAGATTGTTCCCCCAAACCCTTCCATCCCTTTGCAAAAGTTTTTGGAGTGGAGCACAGGCCTTTTGGGGGGGGCGGTATGATCTTGCACTCCTCCAGGCCTCTGTCCTCTGCACCAAAAGCTTTTGCAAAGAGACAGAGGTCTTCAGGGGCGCAATCTCATGCTCCTTCAGACTCACCAAGGCTATCTGGTGCTGCAAAAGCAGATCTGGTATCCTGCATAGGCAGCTTCAGTGAGTCAGCCAAGCTGAGCAGGGCACACTCGTCCCTCTCTTCCTCTGTTCTCACAGCTCTGCCTTTGAGAGTGCTTGCAGCAGGCAAGGAAACCACGCTGCCCTGCAACCCCGCAATGGAAAATCTTGGGAGGAGATTGCTTGCTTGAGGAGAGATAAGAGTCAGCTTGTTCTGAAATTCTGGATCTTTGAAAGGTAAGTGAGTAATTGGTAGCAAGGTGTGCCTGTTAGATCCCTGTGGGAGGGAATAAGCAGCGGAAAGGATGCAGTGTTTCTGCGGTTGGTTCTAAGAGTGAACAACTGCCATTATGATGCAACATTCGTAACTCGGGACTGTGTCGTAAGTACTCTTGGGGGGAGTTGTAACTTTGAACGATCACTAAGTGAACTGTCATAATTCGAGAACTACTTGTAACTATATATTGGAAAATGATCCATTTAGGGTTGTACAGCTGATTGGATAATCCTAGATTCTTCCCTCCACATATAAACATATTCTGCATTTTTTTTTTATTTAGTGGAGATAAACATAAAAAAACAGTTTAACAATACATCCTGTTTGCAAAGCTAATTTTCATAACAAAGCAAAAAGCAATTATTGGGATTTCTGTAATGTCTTTTTTAGCTGTTTTAATTATTGCATTATAATTTTAAGCAGCAACTGGTTTATACCTTTAGTCATTTGTATTCCCAAGCACAAATTTGTGAAATTACTTAAAGATGTAACTGAAATAACTGGAAATATATGCCAACAAAAGAGTTCCAACTTTTTACATTTTATTATTAAATCCAGATAAGCTTGAAGTAAAAAAGCAACTAACATGTATGTACTTTAAATAACTCTGCTCTTAACTTTCAACAGATTAGATTAAAACAATATGTATCATAAAATAAAGGTTCCCCTCGCACATACGTACTAGTCATTTCTGGTTCTAGGGGGCAGTGCTCATCTCCGTTACAAAGCTGAAGAGCCAACGCTGTCCAAAGACATATCCATGGTCATGTGGCCGGCATCACTAAACGCCAAAGGCGCATGGAATGCTGTTACCTTCCCATCAAAGTGGTCCCTATTTTTCTACTTGCATTTTTACATGCTTTCGAACTGCTAGGTTGGCAGACGCTGGGACAAGTAACGGGAGCTCACTCTGTTACGCAGTGCTAGGGATTCAAACCACCGAATTGCCGACCTTTCTGATCGACAAGCCCAGCATCTTAGCCACTGAGCCACTGTGTCCCTCATACATATCATATACAAATATTAATAATAATATATAATCATTTATTTATCCATTTATTTATAAAGTCCCATCTTTATTATTTTTACAAATAATTCAAGACAGAAAACATATCCAACACGGCTTCCTCTTCTTATTTCCCCTAAAAAACAACCTTGTGAGGTGGGTTGGGCTGAGAGAGTGTACCTGGTCCAAGATTACCCAGCTAGATTTCATGGCTAAGGCGGAATTGGAACAGTCTCCTGCTTTCTAGCCTGGAGTTAGACTGGTGTAGTGGTACCTTAACCACTACACCAAACAGGCTCTCGTAACTAGCATTCCCTTACAGAAATGGAAATTGTAGCAAAGAAAGAGAAGCAAATTCATAACGATCAGATGAAAAATCAAAACAATTAACCTTTCAAAGACCTTCATTCCATCTAGATAAATGACTAATAAACAGCCAATACACAATAATATATTATATTAGATATCCAAATTAAGGAATGTTATGTTCCAATGAAGCTCATTGGATCAGTTCAAAAAACGTGGTCTATGTATCTTTTCAGCAATTTTTCCATTATAGAAGCTAAGATATTTTTATTTCAATTTAACAATGCAATTTTTATTTTACTTCATTTTCCTGTCTTCAAGTCAGTCTAGACTCCTGGTTAGAAATCCAGGCAATTTTTCTTAGCAACATTTTGGAAGTGGTTTGTCCATGCCTTTTTCCTAGGGCTGAGGGCTTTTTCCTGGCTTTTTCCCAGCTGACTTTAGGCTAAAGGGGAACTAGAACCCACCATCTCCTATATTTTAAATGCCTTAAAAAACAAATGGACTCATAATTCTATTGATCAATTTTGCAATTGTAGGGGGTAGAAATTTTTTTATTCTTAATTTACATAGAAATTAAGAACACATGCATTTACGGAAAGAAGGATCTGATACTGTTCTCATGTCTTCATCATTCGTAGTTGCTTTCTGGATGCAATGAATGAATTTCCCACAATATGAAAATATGAATATATTAACTAGAACCAAAAGTGCAGACATACTTCTACTGTTTAACGATGACAGTTAGGGTTCTTTGCGATCATATAGCAGATTATTTTCTTCCTCTCTGCTATGGGATGTAGTACCCACTTGATATGCACATTCTACAGTTCTAAGACAAGTGTACTAAGAAATTAACTAAAATGGCTTCCCTTTCCTTTTCTTCTCTTTAAAATTTAATCTCTTGTTGTCATTGTATAAAATAAAGCTTTTTCATTCCTGCTGGGATTTTCTTGTTTTCTCAATGCTAAGAATCAAGCATTCCATGAACTGGAACCTGATATATGCCAACCAAAGGAATTCTGGCATTGATGCTATTCCATATAGGGGATACATTATATAGTAATAAGCAAAACCTTGCCCAACCATATGTTTAAGACCGATGTGCATATTTTATTTTTGAGTTAAAGGTCTTTCCATAAAATAAGGGGTAGGGGTAGGATTAAATTTCATTTGATTTCATTAAACTAAATTAAATATACTTAAGATGATTATTCTCCTGTCATATATTTAATATCTCCCATCTATTGGAATATAAATTATGTTTAAGAACCATTTTTAGGGGTATCTGGCAGCAGCACAGCCACTGCAAAAAGATCATGGAAAGCCATGACTGACCAGAAAGCAATTTCAAGATTTAAATTCTCTTTTCTGTACAAAGAACTTATTTGAAGTTGGGGGGGGGGGTCTACATTTTGACCTGCAAAGATACACTGAATAAAAATCCATTATATTTCTATGAACGTTAATTATTAAACAAAGAACAGAAATTAAAATGCTTGAGAAGAATGGTTTCATAGGAAATCTGCATGCTAGAAGAAAACTCATAACAAACTTGGGTTAATTCAGCTTACCGTGAGGCATCTCTGAATGTGTACTGAAGTCTTTCAGGGCAATGTTTAGTTCCTCCACATTCTGCAGAAGGATGAATGATTTCATTTGACGCAGATGTGCAATATCTGATGAGGACAACATGCCCGATTCAAGGCTCTTTAAAACCTCATGGATGTTTCCGGAGCTCTCAGCTGACTCTGCAGAGTTTGATAGCTCTTAAGGGAAAGAAAAAGTAGCAGTTAGCAAGGTTTTCCTGGTTTACAGCGTACAGATATTCTTCGCTTTACAACAATTAGTTTTATGACCGTTCGAAATTACAACGGCAATGAAAAAAAGGGACTTATGGTCATTTTTCACACTTGATGACCATTGAAGGATCCCCGTAGTCAGGTGATTTGAAATGAAAAAAGACTATGAAAGACTCACAGCACCGTGTTTCTGCATCTGGACCTCTTAAATTTGCCAGGTCCATCCTGCTCTGATGGGTCTGTATAAAATCATACATACATCTTGAGTCCAGTCTGGATTAACATCAAGTGAGCTGAGAAGATACAGGCATTACACAGAGTGTGTGACTTCAACCTGATATTGATATGAAGAGAGCTTCATACCAACATCAATTTTTAAAAGCTGAGGTCCACACATAATCAATAACTAGACCCCAAATTATGAACTCCCTCCATTTACAAGGGTTATGGGATGAGATGGCAAAGGTGTCTCGTGGATCTTCCATATATGTCAACAATCCCTTGATGCCACAGCCTCAAAACAGCAACATTCATTTCAAAAACAACTCATCCTAGAACTGTACTACTACTCCCTAATCTGTGATTTGAAATAAAATCATTACTAAAACAACAGCAAACACATATAGAAAGAGGCTGAAAGCGGGAGAGAAGTCACCCAACTGTTTATGAGACATTATGGAAAGAAAGTGAATAAAAAGCACTAAGATGCTAGTTATGCTAATATTTGTCGTAGTGCAAACAGACTATTCCCAGTGTCAATGTAAATCAAAGCAGAAGAAAAACTGTCTTTCACAAACATAGCCAATTTTCCTATTCTTGTCATAGATAGATGATGGATGGATGGATAGATGATAGATAGATAGATAGAAAGATAGATAGATAAAGATATTTTTCAAATATGAAAATGAATTTTCTTCTCTATATGCCCTTTCACATCCCACCCCTTTCTTTCTGTCTAATTATCATCTCTGGTAGTAAAGCTTCAAGTTTATATTCCAACAAAGGTTTGCAGATACGGTTGAAATTCAATCTGAACAAAATAAAGGAATCTGTGTTCAGTACAGCTACTTCCTAAATCTGAAAAATGAAAGATCATTTTCTTTGAAATCTCTGCCTGTGGGTGTATGATGCCTGCTCATGAATAATTTACTAGACCTTTGTGCCACTGCATCTTCTGGAAAGTATAGCATGAAATCATACTATATGCCACTGTCCCCCATCCTTTAGGAATTACATGGAGACACAGAAAACAGGTTCTGTAGCTTATGTGAAAAGGGGAAGCTTCACTGCATGCGCTTAGAAATGCATCTCATTAGAACAAGTGATGATTAATCATATATTCAAGTACATCTAAAAGCATAGTTCCTTACATCTGCTATTGTATCAGAGATTTCCTGGAAGTAGGCATCAAACAGAAAACAAGAACAGGCAGGAAGCTTGAATCAATACAAGTAGTCTTCGACTTAAGATCACAATTTGAGTCCAACGTTTCTGTTGCTAAGCGAGACAGATGTTAAGTGACTTTGCTTGTCAGATCGCAAAAGGTGAATCGCATGACCCTGGGACACTCAGTCCTCATTAGATTTGAACCAGTGGCCAAGCGTGAATTTTGATCATCTGACTGCGAGGATGCTGCAACAGTGATAAGTGTGAAAGCGGTCATAGTCCCTTTTTTCAGCCCTGTTGTAACTTTGAAGGGTCACTAAATGAATGGTTGTGAGGACTACCTGCACTGGACACAGCCTGACACACTTCTAACTATCCATGTCTTCTGAATCAGCTACAGCTTCCAATGTAGAACATATTGCAATAGTCCACATATGAGGTGACTGAGGGTTGAGCAATTTTATTTTCTCCACTTGCTATCTTCTCTTTTCATTCTTTTCTAATTTTTATGTTGTATGAGGTTTTTTTTTAATCTTTCTCATTGTAAACTTTAATAAAAACTATTATTTTTTAAAAAAGATCAGCTTCATCTGCATCCACTAGGCCTTGGCACTGCATGCAACGTTGGCCACTCCTCCAGAATAAGATCATAGATGAGAGAAACTCTATTACAGACTAATCGTAGTATTCAGAAGCAACAGCGAGAGGTCAAAGCTTCTGAGGATACAGAGATTTGGTACTGGAGCTGAAAAGTGGAAGTGATTTTAAGAATTGATTGCTTTCCCATGAATGGCCCACTTCCAGATTCCATCTGTATTTTTCTTCTGCTTCTTCTGTGAGTGGCACAGGTTGGGTGGCATAGATTGAGTGGCTCCTGCTGCCTGAGTGGCAGTATGTAGTCCTTCATGGCATAAGGCCTAGCTATCTTCATGGCCTGAAGCCTGGCTATCTGAGTATCCTTGTTTCTCCACCTTTCTCATCCAAAATGATATGACAGAAACCTGGTCCCAAGTTTAAATAAGTGTCATCCAACAGGATGTAGAACTGTATTTTCCCTGTCATGATGCATGTTCTCTAGTCTAGAACAGTGTTTTTCAACCTTGGGCACTTTAAGATGTCTGGACTTCTATTACCAGAATTAAAGTTGCCAAGGTTGAGAAACACTTCAGTAGAAGGATATCATCCTGGAAGTTTGATTGATCCTATCCTTACTGGGACAAGCCTTGACAGATAAGGTCATTTCTTAGACAGCCAGTTCAGGAATCACATACCTTCCGAGGGAATTGCATGAATACGTTACCTATGTTGGTTCCCAGGTGACTATCTTCTTTATAGGATGGGTGATCTTATAAATGTGATAAATAAAGGAAGATCTTATTATCAAGGGCAGTGGAAATGTCTTCTTGGTTCCTGCGTATAGGAACTAGGGCTGGTCAAATCTTCAAAAGGGAGGAGGGTTTAGCTTCAAAATAGTTTTGAGCACACATCCTCTCCAAGCTGCTTTCTCAAGCAATGCAGCCCCTTTCTTTCTAAGAGTAAAGCAGTGTGGGAGAAGGCTGAAGGGGAAGTCTTCTCCTGCAGTCCTGGCTGAGATGGTTCCAGGCTGGGTGGCTTTGCCAAACAGGGCAGAAATTAGACCGGTATGATGCATCTGAGAGTCTTCAGTTGACTCTTGAGAAAGAAGGCTGACAGGACTCTTTTCCAACAACTCTGGACCCAATCTGTTCAAAGGTGTCTTTTTCAGGGTTTGCTTTGTTAAGACCTTCTCTTCAACGGAGAGTCCTCAACTTACAACAGTCCATTCAAAGTTACAATGGCATTAAAAAAAAAAGTGACTGATGACTGCTTTTCACACTCATGACCACTGCAGCATCCCCATGGTCATGTGATCAAAATTCAGATGCTTGGCAACTGGCTCATATTTATGACGGTTGCAGTGTCCCGGGGTCATGTGATCAACCTTTTGTGACCTTCTGACAAGCAAAGTCAATGGGGAAGCCAGATTTAAGAACAATATTATTAACTTCACAAGTGATTCACTTAACAACCATGGCAAGAAAGTAAATGGGGCAAAACTCGCTTAACAAACATCTTACTGAGTAACAGAAATTTTGGGGCTCAATTGCGGCCATAAGCCAAGGACTACCTGTATCCTGTTGCCTTAACCTGCAAGGTGAATCTAAAACAGTTTGCATAGGTCCAATAGGAGCTATGCATGTATATTCTTTCTTTCCCAAATTGAGAGCACAAAGCCATCATCAGTCTTTCTCCCCCACCTATATCTGACAGTGAAAAATAATTTGTTTTCCCTCCTTCAAGTCACTGTCATGCGTGATGAAATATACCTACTGCCAGAAAAATAGATTTCCTGTGTTGCTTGCAAAAAATCCAGAATGTCATCTACTTTATCTGCAACTTCAAGCTCTCTTTCTTTCTTTTCTTCGGGCATATATGTGAAATCGGTAGCAACGGGTTTTCCTAGCAAGCCAGCTGCTCTCATTTTTTCCTTTCGCCGCTTCTTTTTCATTTTCCTCTTTTGGTTTTGGGTCAAGTTTGGAGAATCCCTGGGTTGCAGTTGCACGTGATCTCCAATCGGGTGTTCAAGCCCTCCACGTTTTGCTGGACTTCCATGTCCATCAGCAGGAGTTTGAAAAACGTTCCTCCGTTTTTTCCTCCGACGCTTTCTTGGATGTTGCTCTTTATCATTCTCCTCTGTGCGTTGAAAGAAAAACACAACAGACTGTAAATATAATAGGGGGTATGGAGCAATTTGGCTATCTGAATGAAAACACCCCTTTTCTCTAAGATGGTGATGCTTATCTCAGATTGGGGGAGGGGAGAGAGAGAGGGGGGGAGGGAGTGAATTCATTTTGATTACAAGTACAGGTAGTCCTTGACTTACAATAGTTCATTTAGTGACCGATCAAAGTTACAATGGCACTGAAAAAAAGTGAGCTATGGTCATTTTCACACTTACGACAGCTGAAGCATCCTCATGGTCACATGATCAAAATTCAGATGCTTAGCAACTGACTCATATTTATAATGGTTGCCGTCTCCTGGGATCACCTTTTGTGATCTTCCAGCAGGCAAAGCCAATGGAGTGGCCAGATCCACTTAACACCTGCAGTGATTCACTTAACAACCATGGGCAGAGAGGTCATAAAATAGGGCAAAATTAACTTAACAAATGTCTCACTTAGCAACAAAAAATGTACTTAATCGTGGTCTTAAGTTGAGGATTACCTGTACTTTTATTCTTTATTTACCATAATATATTCCTCATTAATGAGTGGCATGAACACTCTCTCTGTCTCTGTCTCTGTCTCTGTCTGTCTGTCTGTCTCTCTCTCTCTCTCACACATACACACACAGAAGACAAATTGGTATTATGGTGTAAGTTTTGATAAGCGGGGGCTGGCCGACACAAAGGAGAGAATGAAATGAGATGAGCACGAATGCTGGTTATTACTATTTGGTTTGGATAGGAATAAGGGCCTCTTCATTTGGGTCAGAAGCCCCTACAAATTATAAACATATAACATTCAACACTGAGCGAATAAAATAGACATAAAATAGGTCATAGAAATTTAGCACATGTTAAAAATATGTAAATATTTAACACTTAAATAAATATTTAAAACTAAGTGTCATTTAGTTTTAATCCTATTAAATTATTAGGATTGAAATGAAATGACATTCGCCCTGGATCGGGTCATGTCAACAGTGTTTTCTCTTGCCAGCATGAGGTCTTTCTCCATACATGTTGAAGGACTTTGTAGCATGTGTGAGATGGATTATACTTCTCCCCACGTACTTTCCACACAGAGTGTCTTCTATAGGGAACCCCCATATGAGGATGAGAGCTAAAGACTAAGACACAACTTTACGAAAGTGGAAGAATTGGAAGGAACGATTGTGGTAACACCAATTTTATTTATCTTCCACTTAATTAAGCAAATTACAGCTTAGAAGAATGTATGTAAGAAGCTTCAAGGTCAACTTAAATAATTTCCAATTAAATAGTAGGTAACATGAGAGATCCCTCCCTCAGATGATTATTTATAAAGTGTCTTGCTATGTCCTCAAATAAAAATATATAAGAAAGTATACTTATATTCCATGTTCTCTGACATACCCATATCCCTGCAGATACACAAGACCCTGTTTTCAGCTAATGCTAACAAGAATGACAATATTGTTTTACATACTCATTCTACTGCTGAGTTGATTATTAATATTGTATTGTTTTTATCAGCTGGCACTAGCTTTGTCTTAACTTTATTATAACTCTTTGCTAGTGTACCATGTTTCACATTTTTAATTCACCTCTGCAGTGCCCAGAAGATGCTCTTCACTGAGAGGGCTAACAAGCAGAATTAATATGCACATACATCTACTGAGCAGCCAGTGATAAAAAAACATGCAAGAAAATCTATGTTTTTGGTTTCTAAATGCTTTATTTTTGCTACCGTGTTTCTCAGAAAATAAGGCCGGGACTTATTTTCTTTTGAGCCCCTCCCTCAAAATGGCTAGGCCGTCTTTTCAGGAGTGAATTAATTTCTCCCCCCCTTGCACCCTTTCCTAGAGCGCCCCACGGGCAGCCACGCCTTGCTACCAGCTGCTACTAACAGCCGATCATGGCAGAGTGCGGAGGGCACCCTACCCCCACCAAGCGCCTTTGCTGAAGACCCAGGTATGGTGTTGGTTGCAGGCCGGATCAGTGGGCAGGCGTCGTCGTCATGAATGTCGGCCTCAGCAGGGCACTTTAAATCGCAGGGCACTTTAAATTGTGAGACCTTCGGCACACACCACTGTTGCTTTCCCTTTGCATTCCTCCACTGGCAGTGTTTCAGCCGCTTTTCGGGCGGGGGAGCCGCCTCTGTAGCTTCCATGATTCCTGCGGGCGCTGGCAACAGAATAGTGGTAGCACCAGCGGGAATCGTGGAAGCTACAGAGGCGGCTCCCCCACCCAAGAAGTGGCTGAAACCCTGCCGGTGGAGGAATGCGAAGGGAAAGCAACAGCGGTGGAGGAAGCAGCAGCAGCGGGCGCCGAAGGTCTCACGATTTAAAGTGCCCTGCTGAGGCTGACATCCACGCCACCACCGCCCACCCGCTGATCTGGCCTGCAACCAGCACCATACCTGGGTCTGTAGCAAAGGCATTTGGCGGGGGTAGGGAGCGCTCTGCCATGGTGAGGCGTGGCTGCTTGCGGGGCACTCCTAATGGCAAGTTCTCCCCCCTGCCCTCCCCCCATTTGGCATGTTTTAAAATAGGCCTAAATTTGGGGTGGGGGATTAATTTCATTTTATGCCTACAAAACATGCTGGGTCTTCCTATTGGGGGGGCATATTGTTGGAGAAACATGGTAGTTTGGCTTCTGGCACCCAGCCTCAGCTAGAATTCATCCCCAGCCTTTATACTAATAAATTTGCTCTAAATATGAGAACTGCAATTTCATTTTTGTAACCTCTCCATTCTTGGGCTTTGTTAACTCTGAAACACTTCCTCTCTCTTTTCATAATATCGGCTCCAGAGTTGCAAGTTCTTTAATTGACAGATGAGTGACTCACTGCAAAGCAGTTCTGATCCCTTCAAAGGAGAGGGAATAAAAACCCATTTGCAATTCAACACTGCAGCACAAAAAAGACGGAAATAATTTGCACCACAAACCTATACCGAATTAGCGTTTTACCTGTATGACAAATGAAACAAACATCTCCCGGGAGAATACAGAGAGATGAGAGGAAGAACAAATGACAAATACATTCCAACTCTGCATAAAATGGTACAGATGTTAAGGTATCATTGCTTAAGCTCCCTTTTTAAAGAAAAAAATGTAAAGAGATCTAATGCTTTGAGGAAAGAGGGGTTGTAAGCTTTTTCTATGTTGATAGAAAAATCATAATCCTACACACGCTTATCTGGGAAGAGGTCCAAGAGAAACTCACTCATTAGTTAAAGAAACATTGCAACCTGTGTTCAAAAACCAAAGACAACATTTGTGCCTGACTGAATTAGTTGTATAAAGCACCTAATGGAAGTTTTCTTTCTTAGTAGTATTCTCAACAACAATAATAGAAATAATTTATAAACAGGAATACATGAAGGGTTTCTGTAGGAAGCATATCCAACCTCTTATGTATTTATAGCTCTTTCTTTCTATTACAGAATTTTTAGTAATGCGCTATAAGAAGAATTCTCCAATATTTTACCATCCAACTTAGGGGGTCAAATTAGGCCTTCATTTTAGCAAAACGGTTATACCATGTGTCCTCTGGCTGTGTCCTGCATAGGAGTAAGGTAACAGCTACTCTGTTCTCTGGTTTGTTCATCTTCGTGGGCATATCGCTTGCAAGAACCTAGAGTAGAAGTTTGATCTTGAAGGAAACAGTATACCAGAGCTCTAGCTGTTTACCAACATTAGATATTCAGTATCTTTAATATATGGTTGCAAAAGAGTGGATTGCTAAAAAAAAAAGACAATTCTTAGACTAAACAAGAGTTCTTTATGAACAACTGTGGTGTTACAAATCATAACTATGCAATTAGGCTTGATCATAGGTCTTCAGCGACTGAAAATAATTAGTCCAGTGTTTATATCTGTGTGATGGAAAACTTACAGCAATCAGACAATTATCTCCAAGTAAGCATGAACACAGAAGGTGGCTGCTTAAAGACCATTAGCTATAATTCTTCTCACCAAGCTGCCACCCTGCGACAAGAATGGCTGACTGACTGTCATTTTGCACATTTTACAGGGATGGAGGAAGGTGGCAGTTGTGCTAAAATATAGCAATAATGACCATTCTTTTACTGGGATCATTAGCATTGCAACTGATTTTCAGGAAGCTATTGATAAGTCAGCTCTAACACCAAGACAGAGGCATTTTAGCTGTGACCTAACATTAGGGTAGTCATGCAGCTGAAAAGAAAAACATAGTCATATGTATACTTTTATTAGCACTACATTTCTGAATCACCTGTTGCTTAAATGTATCATTAGCAACATTTTCCACCAAATAAATCAACTTAAAGTAAGAAAACAAAACTTTCAATAAGTTAAATAGTTTTAAAATCCACCAAAACCAATATTAACTAAAAGCCTGACTACTGACATCTACTTTTAAAGCTTCCTCCAAGCAATTAAAAGACTCAACAATTATTCTAAATCTAAGGGCTCATTAAAGTGAAGGGCTAACCTTGAATTTCTGCTAGGAGAATCAGCAACTGTTGCAACATTTCTTCAATAGACTAGGCCTGAAGTGTCCAGGGCTTTAAATAACCATCAGCTATTTGAAGTTGATTTAATTTTTTTTGTAAGTGCTTATTTCATAACCAGGAAAACTAACTAGTAGCCTTTGAATCAATCAGGCAATCAAATTTTAAGTCCATAGTTATATATTTATTTCTATAACTTCTCCAAATTCAAGCACAACAGGTTAAGTCTGCCAGTAGCAACAGCACTTCGATTTATATACCACTTCACAGTGCTTTACAGCCCTCTCTAAGCAGTTTACAGAGTCAGTCTATTGCCCCCAACAATCCAGATCTTCATTTTACCAACCTTGGAAGGATGGAAAGCTAAGTCAACCTTGAGCTGGTCAGGACTGAACTGTTGGCAGTTGTAGGCAGAATTAGCCTACAATACTGTATTCTAACCACTGTGCCACCATGGCTCCAACCTTCAAATTACTGGTAAATGTGCCAGT